CGTGCCTTGTCTTACGGGGGGGAAAAAAAAAATCTCAGAGGGAGGGGAGCACAGCTGTTGTGGAAACATGTGCAGAATCTCTTCAGCTGTAGTGATCAGTTAGTTTCCCTCTGTGTCCTGCCTCGCTGTACCCTGGGAGCTGCCTGGGCCACGCTGTGTGGGTGTCCACGCCAGTTCCCTGGGATGGGGTGACCCTGGCTGATGGGACTGTTGTAACGCTGGCGTTTTGCGTTGACTGTTTGCTCTCTCTTGTTCCATTCAGAGGCGTAATGGAGAAATCCTTCATGGAATACTATGACTTCTACGAAGGGGTGTGTAAAGAGAGGCTTTATCTCCAAGGACAGACAATGCAGGTGGGTGGCAGACTATTTTCTAGTTGATGACACACCGCCTTAGATAAGGAAGGGTGTGTGGTTGGTGACAAACAAGAGGTACGCGGCGTGGTTCTGGAGCTTTTCTATGAAATGTATATTCCGACTTTGAATCAGCCGTGAAACTGAGACCTGAGACGTTCCGGTGGATGAAACACTACCGTCCCCAAGCTCAGAGTAGGCACACAGTGTTTTCAAAGCTGTCTAGACTCATGGAGTGCTGGACCTGAGCCACTCCCCAGGTGGTGGAACCGGAACAGTTTGCTTTCATGTGGGTTTGGTGTTAAGCAGGGAGGGCACATGCAGGTTATCCAGTGCTGGTGGCAACTGAACTCCACTGCAGTATTTTCCTGTTGGGTCACTAATAGAGTTTTGGGGTTTTTTTTTCTGAGGTTCCTTTGCTCGTGCAGGAGGTAGAACTTTTCTCCGACAATCCTTGTTCTGTCAGATGAGGCTGGAAGTGGCTGAGTCAAAAGTTACTGGGGGAGGAAGGGGTAGGGGAAGAATGACAGTGTGGCAGACACATCTAGACAGGTTGAATGCAGGAGCTTGTTTCTGCAGTAAAGTAGACTTTAAAGAATAGATTGCCAAGCAATTTGCATATGAACAGATGTGTTTTCCTCCCTCATCAGCCACCTCTTGTCTGACTCATTGAGAAATCCCACTGCTAAGAAAAGAGGTGGTTGATTTAATGATCTTGCGTCTCTGAGCCTTTTTATCCTGTAGGTGCCATCACTGGCTGTGTAATTCATAAATTGAAAGCACTCCCAAAGCAGGAGAGTTCTTGTTTGGAGTGAGAAATTCCCGTAAGGAAGGTCTGTGCCTGTCTTACAGCTGTAGAGAGTACTGCAGTGAAGTTTGGTGACATTAGAAGATTGTCAGGCGTGGCCAAGCCTTGTTTCTTCTTCAGGGAGCCAGGGCTCAGCTCCTTTCTCCAGGGTTTATGAAGATCCCGGTGTTGTGTTCGGTTCCCAGTGACTGCCGTGCTCTATTTTCTGCTCCCTTGCAAACAGGAGCGCAGGAAGCATGAACCCAACGTGCTGGAGAGATGGCGTTGGTGTCTTCACTGCCCTGTATTTACAACAGAGTCACTCCAGGCTCGGTATCAGTGGAGTGCTCGCCAGATGTGCTGCCTTGTTAACTCTGGGGCCACACGCTGGCTTGTACCAAAGATTCCCGTCAGACAGGACAGCGTCAACTCCGCCACCACCACCTTACGTAGCCCTGGCAATGTGTCTTCAACCTGGGATGGGGATAAAAGCAGCAAATGTTCAATAATCTCCAAAGACTTTCTGCCTCTGATTTGGCTACATCTCAGCTGGGGGCCTTGATTTCAAACGAGAACAGTGATGCTTTCATTTGGAAAGGGTCTGTAGCACTAATATAAAGTGTGGTTGAGCCTTTGGCCTCTGGATTTTAGCAGCTTTCATTTGTCATGTTTTCCCTGCCTCCTTTGAGTGGACTTGAGAGCAAATCTTTGAAGTAGTTCACTTCCTCAAAGCTGCTAGTAGAAACCCAGCCCGTCTGCCTGGCCTTTCATCTGGTTTTGTAGTTTGCTTGGGTTTGTGAGGTTTTCCAAAAGAGACTCCAAAAATAAATTCACTTCAGTCTTCAACCTCTGCCATGACAGTGGAAGGCTGAAGGGCCTCTGTCCTGGGATGGGATTGAACCCTTAACTCTTTGACCATTTGTTGGCCAATTACTCCGCAAGCGCTTTTCTTTCTGCCTCTTGCCAGAAGGATAATGGTCTCTATTAACAAGCTGATCTCTGGTTTTCTTCCAGGATCCTTTTGGTGAAAAACGAGGCCACTTTGACTATCAGTCCCTATTAGTGCGTTTGCAAGGAATTCGTCAGAAGGTGCAAGAGAAACACCAGCAGGAGAATACAGAAATAGACTCTGAGAGCAGCTCCTCCGAGACAGAGACAGACACTCAAGGTTGCTCTAAAGCCTAGAGCTGCGTTAACAGCGGAGAGGCCAAGCCGTGGGGACGTTCGCTCTTCACACTCTAGAGTACCCCTGACAGACTCGACAACCAAACCAATGCCAGAGCGGAGAAAACTGCGGGATATCTTCTGTCTCCTCTTACTGCTCTGGTGGATAACGCTGAACGAGAAGACTTCATGCTAGACAAAGCCAAGCTTGTGACAGGCTACTCTTAAAAGGTACTTACTATGCTAGAAAGCCAGAGCATGTGGCATCAGGTTTTTTTTTTTGTTTTTTTTTTTTTTTTTGGAAACCCCTACACTGGTTGGTTTGTCTTTTTTTTTTTTTTTTCCCCCCTTCTTCTCCATTTGATTAAAGAATGAGCTCTAGACTGCGAATCCTCTTTACAGCTTTTCTGTTCCTAGACAGTGAGCCCTGGGGCCATGCTGAACGTGGAGCTGTAGCTGTGGGAGCGCTTTGACGAGTCCAGGGTATGACGGGGTCCACGCGCTGTGTGCCCAGGCGAAACCTTTTTGTGCGGGTTGGGAGAGATGGAGCCTCTCTGCTCTGTGGAGCCCATCTACCTGATGTCTTTCTTCTAGACACTGTTCTAGACAGACCAAAGATAGAGAGCAGTAGTGGAATCTGGGCTCCTTTCCGAAAGCTTTACTCAAACCCTGGGTGACTTCATCCCCTGAGAGTTCAGGCAGAAAGGGGCAGATGAAAAGTGGAAACTGCAAGAATCTGTAAATCGAGCGTGGGTGTGTTCATCCTGGCATTTTGGGGAAGGGAGGGTGAGAAAATCATTGGTCAGAGATGGGGCAGCACTTAAAAATAACTCTAGTTTGTGTATTATTTTTTTAAGGTGTTGATTTGAATTTAGCATTCTAGAAATATTTTATTCTAGCTGCTCTGAATGGAGCTGTTCTGTTTCCTTGACTGAAGTCCTCTTTGCTTTCCACCTCTCCATGTAATATTTTATTTTCCTCCCTTTTTCCTCCTGCCACCTCACTCCCCGCTGCTACCTTGATCCATCAGACCGAAACGCTAGAATAAGTGGTGATTCTAGGTAAGGAAGCCACTGTTTCTGGGTGGAGTTCTTCAGAGGTGTACACCTTCTTACTGACAAATTCCTTTGCCAAATTTGGCTGAGGGCAAACTAGAGTTGTGTCGTAAAGTTTAACACTTCAGTGCTTTGAACATTTTAAACAGCAGCTTTTCACTGTGAGCGAAGGCCAGCCTCGGAGAGAGGTCTGCTGGCCACGAGTGCCACGACATCAAAGATATATTCTGTGTAACTTGGGTGGAGGTGAAATGCCTGGTTTCTCCAGGTCAATAAGCCTGGAGATGATTGATTGGAGCGTGATAATGTTTTGTTCATAAAGAGCTTAATCTACTTTTTTTTTTTTTTTTAAATTACTATTTTTATGGGAGCTTTGATAGAAAGCTAAGCACAAAGTTGCACATTGTCCTGGGCCCTCTCCCAGTTTCCTTAAACACCTTCCCACCAGCTGTTCCAGCCTCCTGGTGGTGGTGGGAGAACTTCCAACACAGTCATCTTTGTTCTAAAAAAAGCGCAGAAAGAGGGGCCAAAAGCCCCCTGCCGCGCGCCGTCCAGAACGGCGATGCCCCATGCGTCACTGAATTATTTTCAGTCTCTCTGATTTCTATCAACTCTTGCAGAACTCAGAAGCCTGCACACTGCTGCTTGAGCAGCTCCGAAAAGCTAAAAGGTGGAAACATTTCTGAATTGTTATGGTGCCATTTAACAACTTGGGAATCTTTTTTTTCCCTTTAGTAAGCAAAGTCCCCTGGGTCTGTCATGGGCTTGATTTAGATTTAAAAGCAGAACTTCCGTAGGGCTCGCTCAGCACACACCAGGTGAGAGTCAACACAGGGGTGTTCCCCTTGGAATGAGGGCTCGGGGAGGCAAAGGGGTCTCCCCAGAAGTCACGAGCTGTGTGCTACTTGACCGCCTCTTCAGTCCCATTGTAAATGTCACGTTGTTTTTCACCGTTCAGTAGCGTTGTGGGTAGAGCTGTGACTCTGCTGCCTTTCCGAGGCAGAGCTGGTTCTGAAATCTGTTTGTGATGCATGTGGCGTTACCATCCACTGATACAACGAAACAAGAAAATGCCTTATTGTGGACACTATTCACATAACTAGCATGTGGCTGTAAAAGAGAAGTATTAGTTTTATAGCTCTGATGTTGTCTGTCCTACCATTTCTGAATGTTTCCATTCCAAAGTGACAATCCTCAAATGACTGCTCTAGGCAGAGATGTTTTAGCAACAGATTTTTAGACCTAATTGAGTTGAAAATATATGCACAAGAGTCACTCTGAGATACCTTGTTTGTATACTATTGTACATAAGATTTTTTTTTTTTTTTTTTTTGTGCAATAAAGTTTGTTTTGGCAGAATCTAGACTGTGGTATTCCTTAGTGGAACAACAACTCATTCACAGAGCAGAGAGGATGACAGAACAGTTTCAGTGTCACTGCTGGCTCCAGGATTCTTTAGCTGGAGTCACATTTGCATCCTCTGAGACTGCAGTTGCAATAGCAGCTTAGATAATTTTCCTCTTGCTGTGACAAGATAATGAGTTGTCTGTGATGGTAAGTGGCATTTCCACCCACAACAGAGGAAAAAATTCAGAGGTAAGCAAGTATGAATTAGTCCTATGAAACTTTTCAAGCTAGACACTTTTTACAAAACTTTTATTTCAAGTCCACTGTCGCTGTGTTTCAGGTGATATGCCAATAACCTCACAAGAAGAATTCTGTACAGGCACAGAGCAGTCAAGGTATTGCCTCCTTGGCTTCCTCTGGAGTGATTTCCTGAGAGTACAGCTCTGTAAAGAGAGCAGGCAGCCAGTACTGAGGTTCTCCTGCTGCCTGCGTATCCAGCCAGGCCATTCCTTCCTTCAGCAAGTGTTCCTGTACAAACAGAGCGGAAACTGTGAGTAAAACTGAACGAAATGGCTCAGAAGCCGTTCCCAACAGAGGCCTGACCCCACATTTACTCTACGGCAAGGGAAGGTGTAGAACTTGGGCTACAATAATTTTTACTCAACCAGGAGAAACCTAGTTCAGCCATCCAGCCATGCCCACCCTGCACGTTTACAGAGGACCTGAGCTAACACGACTCCAGTTTTAATGGAGATCAGTGAAGCCACAGGAATATCTGCAGCTTCTGAGATTCTGCACTCCACTGTGCACAAGAGACCTTCATACGTACCAGCACTTGCTTTGCACGTTCCGTCTCCCACTTCAGGCTGGACTTGATCTCACTGACTGTTACGTAGGCTTTTTTCTGAAATTAGAGGAAAAATAATGTGTGCTTATAGTCAAGACTCAACTCCGTAGTTTAGAATAGCGTGGACAGTTTTGCCTACAGGCTTGGTCTAATCTTCCCTGTCATGGAAGCAATAAGGTTTTTTCAGGGTGGTTGTATTTTAAAATCTCCTAGGTTAGTACCTCTGCTAGCTGCAAGACGACAGTGTGATCCATGTTCAGCTCAGCTGGTACTGACTGGATCAGATACGTTCCACCAACAGGGATGATCCCAAAGCCACTCCCCAAGACCTTCAGTTTCTTGATGGCACGAAGGAGATCATCCCTGAGAAGCAGAGGTCAACGCAAGACTTTAGAGCGAGAGCCTCTTGGACTGCACACTACGCTCTGAATGAGGAAGACTTGGCGTGCAGAAGATTCCACCCCAATTAGTGATCAGGGTGAGTTGTGTCCTAAAACCTGCTTCTGGAATGACACATCAGCCCCTTCCTTACAGCTCAGGAGACCACAGCAGCTTCAGCAGACTGTGGCAGGAAGAGAGCTGGATCTGCAGGGCACTAATTTGTCTCCAGCTCAAGGCAACAGTCCTTTTTTGCCTTGAGGGCTCCCTGAGAAAGCACACTGCTGCTTTCCAAAATGGTTACATCATTAATTGTGGATCACAAATCAGCGGCTCCGTTGCTAGAAGTCAAATTTGGAGTGCATTCAACTGCAGCACCTTCAAATGCTGCTGAGATCAGTCACCCCCTTTCCTTCCCTGACTGCTACTCGATTCCCCTTTCCAGACACTCACTGGCTGACATCCTGAGCAAACTTCCCCCTTCCCTTCAGCACTTGCTGATGAAGTTCTTCCAGTGTTATCAGACCTAGGAGTCAACAAAAGGGGAGAGGAAAGCGTTACTGCACGGCAACAAAATCACTCCAGTGAGCACAGTCAAGGATCCTTTGCGCATCGGCCACTGGCTCACCCCTGCCTTCCATTCTACAAGCGGCTGCCCATTGCTCCCAGTATCACCCCTTGGGCGAGATAAGCATCGAGGCACTTTTGTTCGCAGAACTAACACTCAGCAGCCAGCTGTTGCCTTCTCCCAATTATATTGGACTCAGCTTTCAGCTGGATTTGCTGCAGCCCACTCCTGGTCTCAGACTGTCTGTCCTTCTGGAGTGAAGAGCACTGACTATTTTTTTCATTAGGCACTTATCACTGGTATTCCAGCTCTCCTGGATATTGCTGTGATCGTTTAGAGATAATCTTACTGCCAGGTTCAAAGCAGTAACTCATCAGTTTTGTACCCCTTCAGGATTGTCATTGATCCCTGCTCCTTCCCCACGTTACTGCAAGTGATGGGTTTGTTACCTAAACAGTGCAGAGCTGGTTGATTTCTGTAGAAACCACTAAAGCTGGGTGATTACTGGTGGGGAGTACCTTTAACATGTTGTAGAAACAAAACCAAGGCTTTTTGGGGGCAAGGAAGACAAAACTGCCATCTCAGTATCTTGTGAAATCTACTAAAGAACATGACAGGGAGTGATGCAGCTCATTTTCCCTCCCACTCGCTCTGTCTCCTAGAAACCAGACACAGGGGGATCCTCACCTCCATTCCTGTGTTTCAGAGCCAGGCAGACTTCAATGATCTGCACACCCAGTTCATAGTAAAAGTCTCCAACTCCCAGCATCTCTGACCAGAATCCTTTACCAGCTGTGAAGTGAGAAAGGAGAAAGCAATTGGGCCATCAGCAAAAATATCCTTCCTTCCTTAACAGTTACTGGTGCCGAGCAGGCTGCTCGCAAACTTCCCTGGGAGGACTCTCGGATCTGTCAACAAAGAGTCTCCATGTTGGCTACTCGTCCCCCACCCTCCTAGGTAAATAACACCCAGTGGTGCTTTACACCCATTCACAAACCCCGAGAATCAAACAGCATCAGCTCTCCTCCAGGAAACCTCAGCTTCCCTGCGAGCTGTTAGAGCTGTGTGAGATCCTCGGTCATCCACCCCGGTGCCTGTTCCTCACACGCCAAAGGATCCACTCCGATGGTTGCACACATGTCCTGGAACTGGACCCGGAACTCGGGGTTTTTACGGATCTCTTGCTTGTGTTTGCTGGCAAACTCTTCTAAGTTGGTCTTAAACATGTCCAGCTGCTTAGACATCTGAAAGAGAATCGCAGAGAAGCGTTTCTGCCTTAACACTTATTTAATGCAGTTTTTCTGTATAAACACAGCCCCCAACAGGCACCAAGTGAGCGGAGTCCTCAAAAAACACTCAGCTCTCTGACGTGCTGCCTGCCAAGTGGGATTAAAGGAAGGAAACAAGATAAAAATCACTCGATGGAATCAGAATTCTCCACGTTACACTTTGAATACAAACCGGTATCAGTGGAGACAAGGCAAAGGGCTGTTCTGAACCAAGAGAGAGGCTCAGAGTGGGGAGGCAGGAGTTATTCTGGGATGTACAAGCGGCAGAAACAGTTCTACAGAACTGAGCTGTGGCTGGGGTATGGAGAAGGGAGGCAGAGGAGGGTCTGCAGCAACCATCGCAGCTCTCTGATGGAGCGCTGGCCTCGCGGGTGCCGTCGTCATCCATGCTGCTCGTGGATAATGCTCTGGAAACCGAAGCGGAGGGGGAAATGAAGCCCCAGGGTTATTCCCGCTGCCGGGACAGGGGTGAACTCCCACCTGGGCCAGCTGGTCTTCGGCCAGAACCGTCCCTCGCTCCTTGTACTTTGCCTGCAGGAGGAAAACGGGACAGTGGATACAGCGCCGGAGGACAGATGAATCAGAAACCAAATCGGGATGAAAGAGACCCTCCCTAAGGGTGCCTTGAGCCAGGAGGACCCACAGCCTC